TAATTAGATTTCATGCGATTAGAAATTAGTTAAGAAGATTACTTTCAAACTTGAAATAGATATTCTTAACTTGCAAAAGAGGATGTGAGAAGTTCTTGAAGTCCACTTGATCTGTCCATGAGGTTAGATGTTGGAAGTTCTTGCAGTCCACCTGAATTATCCGTACATCTAACTTCCAATGATGATCCACGAGAATTCTTTTAGTAAGAAATAACATTAGGTAGACATTGTAAATACCAATTCAAGGAAAACTTGGGTGGCATCTTTTTTTCTTTTTTTTTAGTGTAAGTAGAAGGGTTGGAACCCAAAACCTCTCACTCATATTTCCGCCTTCTGAATCATCCAACCCATCCCTCCCTCCAAACTAAAGACTATATTTTGAAACTTCTTATTTGATAACCCAATTCAACATTTAAATTCAATGGATTTAGATTTTAACATGTTTAAATGTGTTTAATAATAATAAAAAATAGAACATCTAATTGATTGCAAATATGTGGTCTTTAGTTACAATTGTTAGTTAGACTAAACAAATATTTAATTGGGAAAAAAGTTCAAAGTTTGTTTTTAAGATAGCACGCTTTCCGAACAATTAAGAAAAATACTTTTGAAAATAATTAATAGAAGTAGACTTAGCTACGCCAAATATCCAATTGTAACCCCTCACAAAGGGAAAAATGTAGGATTTCAATCTATACTTTGATATTTGTTATTGTAAAAATGAAAAAAAACAAAGAGAACTCATAAATTACTTGGATAGTCAAAATTGGTAAAATGAGGAGAGGACAGTTTTGACTTTGGAGGCAAAACATGCAAGGATTTCTTAATTCTTTTTGGGAATCCTCTGAGTAGATCTGCTTAATTAGATTTCATCTTATTAGAAATTAGTTGAGAAGATTGCTTTCAAACTTGAAATAGATATTCTTGATTTGCAGTAGAGGATGTGAGAAGTTCTTGTAGTCGAATTGATCTATCCATGAGATTAGATGTTGGAAGTTCTTGTAGTCCCATTTGAAGGAACCATATATTTAACCTCTAATGATGATCCACATAAATTTTTTAGCAAGAAATAACTTTAATTACGAATTATGTAAACTAAAAAAATGCTAACTTTTAATCAAGAACTAATATAGGTTGATGAAGTTGTGAAGAAGAAAATTCCTAGTTTTAGATTTGCAAACGGCGATTCAAGCTATGGTCTGATCAAGTTAAGCTTGACTTAATTTTACCAAACCCAAACTCAATGATTTCTTAACGTGAAATTTGATTTTCAGTTCAAACTCAAGTCTAAGTTTAGTCAAATTTGATTAGAAAGTCAAATCAACCTCAAATAAAAATAAAAAATATTCTTTTATATTTTTAAAATAGATAAAATAGGTATGTCATGCTAAAGAAATAAAATTGTTGGAGACATACATGTAGTTTTAAAAAATATTAATAATATATAGATTAAAACTGACTCGGCAAGCCAACTAATTGATATTTAGTTTGACTCGATTGGCACGCCAAATCAGCTCGAATTCGATGTTAACCTTGTTTGAGTTACATTTTGACTGAGTCGACTTGATTGATTTCCAACTCTTAATAGATGATTATATGGATTTGGATCGAAATAAAAACAATGTTAATATATTTTTACAATAATTTAACAAAAATAAGAAAACTCATCTTTCAAAAGATTAGTAACACATCTCAAAATTTCTAACTCAATACCAAATGCTTGGCAATTTGTAGCGGAGTTTGGACAAGAATAATCATTGATCGACCAACTTGGGTCTTCAAAAGCTTGATAAGGAGTAGGAAGAAGCAAGGAAGAGGTACATGGAAAGACAAAGTAGGGCTTGAAACCAATGTTTTGAAATTCGGACTAGCAATCGACTCGGTCGAGGTCAGGAGTCAAGGGCCAGTGGATTCGATCCCATCCAAGAACCGGATGATATCATCATGATGTCATAAATATATTTAATTTTAGGAAAAAAACCCGGGGAACCCAAACTATTGCTGTTGTCTACTTTTGGTCCCTTGTCTAAATTTTGTTTCCAATTCACCTTTGAATAATTAAAACTGCACACTTTAAGAACTTCCGATGATTTAGGCATAAATTTGGCTGGATTTAAAGGGCATTTATCCATTCATAACTGAAGCACCAAGACCAGCATCGATCATCCTAAAAAAAGGTAACTCTTCAATTTCTTAAGTACTTCATTAGATTTTTCTTCACAAATCCTTTGAAACTCGAGTTTTACCCATAAGAAAAAAGCTTGCACCATGCCTTGCATGTGGTGTTTTTTCCAACCATTTAAAAGCTTCATTGTCAAAATCTTTTGGTAAAACTCGATTTTCATAGGATTTGTAAAGAAAAATCTAAGGTGTGCTTAAAAAATTGAAGGGTTACCTCTTTTAGGGTTTTTGATGCTAGTCTCGAAACTTCAAATTTGAATGGACAAAAATGCCCTTTAAATCCGGCCAAATTTATGCCTAAAATTTCTAAAAACATATTAATACTAAGAAAGGTAGGTTCAATGTATATTTGATGTTTCTAAGATACTTTACAAAAAAAATACAAATAAGGTAGTATAATTAAGTAGAAATTTATGCAATTTACAATTTAATGCATATTCAACAAGTTTAGAACCAAATTGAAGGGCTTATTTGAAAGGAATACAAGAATTTAGGGCTGTACTTATAAGTTCTAAAATGTTTCTAGGTGTAATAATAGTTTTCTAGTATTCTAGGGATCAAATCATAAAATTGATAAAATATTTCTAGGTGAATTTTTTTACTTTCTTTTTTTGTATGTTTTTATCCCTTTTTGAACTTAGATCTTCCATTGGAGTTGTTTGAGAGAGATTTATGGTAGGATATGTAAAGATATTTGAGAGTAGTTAAAAGAAAGAATCAAAAAATAAAAACAAAAAATGTAAAAAGGAAAAGATGGGAAAAAAATTTGATTCGAAATGGTTCATCATGTTTCCAGCCAAACACGATTTTTAATTATGCCGAATTTTTGTTTGATGGTTTTTTAGGATAAGTCGGATAGGATGCCTATTCAATTTTTGGTTCAATCGGTTAAATCGATCGGTCCGATCTGAGTTTCAAAACGCAACTTGAAACATGGGAATCGATTGCTAATCCAATTTGAGCACCCTGCTAGACAGATCTTAACAGAATACTTCATTATTCAAGCTCCATGGACAGGAACTTGCTGAGTCAATTCTATCTTTTTTTTTTGTCTCATTCGAGAAAATGAGGCCTTCCCTTTTCTTGATGGCGTTGATTTGCCAATCATACTAGACTCCACATCCACCTCTAAAGAAAAACGGAGGGTGTAACAATGAGAGGTACCCCGACTATTTTCAAGAACAAATAAGACATGAGCCTAGGGGTGTGCAAGCTCAGAATTTATTGAATAACGACTGATTTCAAAACGAATTTAAAAATTTGAAATCGGTAATTCGAAAATTTGAACAAATGCGGATTCATGTGTTTCAACATAGGTATGAAAGTTGTATTGGTTTCTTGAATCCGGAAATTACTAATCTCGAAATCGAAAAAAGGATTTAAATACATAAATAATACAAATATATACTATACACGAATATCATGTGCAAAATGTATATTAGCCTTATATACATTCAAGTATAAGAGAAAATATGCTACTATGGAAATATATTATTACATTACGTTATAATGCATATTGTACTATATAACAGCAGTGTATGTATATCATTCATTTTGACTTCAGTAGTACTCAATTCTTATTTCAAAATTGAATCAAAATTGAAATGGTTCAACTCAAAATTGAATTAAGTCAGTATCTCACAAAAGAAGATTATGAAAATTACAAAATTTAATCTACTAAATTCTTGATTATGCTCACTTCTACTGAAATATTGTAATATCTGACCACAATAAGAACATTTATATTCTTTTTATTTTCAACGATGACTACCGTCATTTTACCCCCTAAAAAAAAATTTATGACTACAGTTAGAGTTTATTTTTCTTTGGACCACTATAACCTTCAATGAATATAGAACCTGAGGATTTTAATCATAAGGGGAAAATGCACTTTTTATTCCTTATTGTTTTGAGTGTTGGACAATTTTATCCCTAAAATTTCAATTAAAACACATTTCATCCCCATAATTTTATAATTTTGATCAATTTCATTCCTAAAATTTCATGCAAACACATTTCATCCTCATAATTTCATAAATTTGACTAATTAAGGATAATTGATGGATTGTCAAGTAATTTGAATTGAATATCATCACATGACCATAGCATACCAATTAGTAAAACACAAAAAACATTGGGTCAACCAAAACCTCAAAAATCATTTTTTAATTCACTTTCTCATTTGAAAAAATTAAGAAAATTTCATCCACCATTAGCCTCGTCTTAATCACAAATTGAACAAAAAGATTGAGAGGGATTGAAGTCGCGGAGAAGAAACAACCCCATTATGGCCAATTGGAGAAAATTTTCAAACAATCTTATTACAAACCAATTGGAGAAAAATATTTACGTGAAATAAAGAATTGTTTAGATTGTCATTTATTTGCAAAAATTTGTTTTGTTGCATCATATACATGTTTTCAAATTGTCTATCTATCTTCCAATCTATTATTTTGTCTCACACATATCATATCATAAATTAAAAAAAAATCTCTTATTCAAACACACTCATTATTATTTATATAATTTAATTAGTAACTGAATTAAGTATTAATAATACAATGATTAACCTGACATATTAGTCATGTGATGATATTCAGTCCAAATTGGTTGACAATAATTCAATTGTCCTCAATTGTTCAAATTTATGAAACTATAAGAATGAAATGTATTTGGATGAAACTTTAATTGATCGAAATTATAAAACTAGAAAAATGAAATGTATTTTGATCGAAACTTTTGGACTGAAATTATCCAATATCCCAAATATTGGGGATGAAAAGTGCAGTTTTCCCTTAATACAATAGCCATTAAAAAATTGGTGCAATTAGCGGGAAATGAGTTACTAGAACAACAGAGATCAAGAATTCATCTCAGACCAGGAGACGATGAGGACGATGCAGAGAAGAGCTTCTTCCGCCATAATTGTTACCATTGCTCAGTCTCAGGAAGCAGCGGCTTCATTAGGTACTACTGCTCCTGCTAGTTGTACTACTCTTGCTTCATTTCTCTCTGCAGTCGCAAACCCTATACCCCAATTAACTTTTTACTCTGCTAGTAGTAGTAAAATTAGGTCGTCTTCTGGAAAAGCTCTAAAATTTCAATCTGGTTTGAGGAATGATATTAGTAATATCAACAGTCTTGATGATGCTCTGAGCTTGTACAAGCAGATGGTCCGAATGAGGCCTCTGCCTTCTGTTATTGATTTCACTCAACTGCTGGACCGTATTGTTAAGATGAATAAGCATTATTGTTCCGTTATTCACCTGTTTAGGGACATGTGCGTCAAGGGCATTCCAGTTAATGAGTACACTCTCAATGTTGTGATTAATTGTTACTGCCTCGTGGGTCGAGTGGATTTGGGGTTTTCCATATTGGGTGGCTTCTTCAAACGTGGTCTTGTGCCCAATGTAGCCAGCTTTAGCACTTTACTTAAGGGACTTTTTCGAGAGCATAAGGTTCCTCAGGCACAAGAATTGTTCAAAAAAATAATATACAACAAAGTTTGCGAGCCCAATGAAGTTATGTTTGGAATTGTAATAGATGGCCTGTGTAAGGTGGGAAACACTCAAACTGCCATCGACTTCCTCAGATCAATGGAAAAAGGACGAAGATCTTGTAAACCTAATACAGTTGTGTACAACACTATCATTGACAGCTTGTGCAAGGATAAAATGGTTGATGAAGCTCTTGCACTCTTCCGGGAGATGATTGAAAAGAGCTTACCTGCGGATGTTGTCAGTTATAATTGTTTGATTCAGGGTCTCTGCAGCTTAAGCAGATGGAAGGAGGTCAAAGAGCTCTTCTCTGAGATGAAGGATTATAAAATTGTTCCGGATGTCTTTACTTTTAATATAGTGGTGGATGCACTGTGCAAGGAAGGACAGGCAGAAGATGCTGAAGAGGTAGTCAGCATCATGATTCAGCAAGGTCAGACTCCCAATCTGGTCACATACAGTTCCTTAATGGATGGATACTGTTTACATTGCCGAATAGATGAAGCAGGGAGAATCTTTAATACCATGGTTACTAGTGGCCTTACTCCTGATCTCCATAGCTATGCTATTCTGATAAATGCCTATTTCAAGAACAAGGAAGTGGAAGAAGCCATGAATCTCTTTCGAGAACTTCAACACAAAGGTTTAACACCTAATATTGTTGTTTATACCACTGTCCTGCAGGGGTTATTTAGTGCAGGAAGGTATCTCAGTGCAAGAGAAGTTTTTGATGAGATGCAAGCTGCTGGCCTAAATCCTGATTTTCACACTTACTGCGTCATGTTGGATGGGTTGTGCAAGACTGGAAATGTCGATGAAGCTTTGCAGTTATTCCATTCAATGGAAGTTGATGGAGTAGATCTTCATGTACAAATGTACGGTATCATCCTTAATGGGTTGTGCAAAAGTAGAAGGCTCGATAGTGCTCGAGATCTTTTCAACAGTCTCTGCCTTAAAGGATTGGATCCTGATGTCAGAACATACACCATCATGATTGCTGGCTTGCTTTCAGAAGGTCTGCTCATCGAAGCCAAAGAGCTTGTTGAAAAAATGGAAGAGAAGGGTTGCTTGGCAGATGGTGCTACATACAATGTTATTCTGCAAGGACTCCTCAAGGGAGGTCATTATGACGATGCAATGGTCTGTTATGAAGAAATGGTTCATAGAGGATTCTCACTGGATGCATCTACTTTTTCCATTTTACTTGATTCATCTGCTAAAAATCAGAACGCTAAAAATCAGAACAATCCTTCATTACTAATGTTGATGCTGAAGATTGATCCCGATAGCAAGAAGTTCATGGATGGAGGACAAAGAGGACCTTCACATTAGTTGCAACATGTTGGTCCTGCTGTTTTTTGGCCTTGAGCAAACATTAATTAGGTTTGCATTTGATCCTGTTATTAGTTATCATCTTTGTTGCAACTGAGCCTTAGTGGAGCTCTCTTGGTGATAGTTTGTGAAACACCTCAGAGATCATCAGTCTGGTGGAGAAGCCGCATTCCTTAGGGAAGTTCAATTGTTTGGTGTGGCAATCCACAGAATTTGGTGCAATTAAGTGGATTTGTACTACTTCTTTTCAAGACTTCTTGTTTGTCTTTTCATGGAGAACCTCAATGTGGCATATCACTTAAGTGGTAACTTGAACAGGCTATTTTTCTTCATTTTTCATGGGCGTTGGTGCTTTAGCTTGCCTGTTAAGTTCAGTTTGGATAGCCACTATTTGAATTTGTTGAAAGTAAAGAATTAAATATCATCTGCAAGTATAGTTTGTGATATTCTATTTCTAGAAAAGTTTCAAGCTGTATTTCTATAATTTTGAGGAAATTTTTTTCATTTAAGAATGATAAAATTGCTACTTTTACTTCAATTGCTAAATGGACCCAAATATGCCACCAGTTCAAAAGTGTAAAAACTTTCTAGACTAGCTTCTTGCTTTGGGTTCATATTTTGAGGTCCATAGGCATGGCCATTTATTTTTTCACAACATTTGACAGAATCTGAACTTTTCAAGTATGCTCCAGGAAAAGGTATTCTGATTATTTTCCCCTTTAATTGTCAATGCTGTACCAAATTATATAGATATCCTGTAGAAGTGTGGCAAAATATCATTCTCTTGCAATAACTTGAAATAATTCATCCAAGAAACTCTCTCTCTCTCATATATTTCTCCTCATACATAAATCCATTTGTGTGTTTGGTTGTTCATTAACAATATACTTGATTATGGGATTCTTCAAGATTAATATTTGGTTGTTCCTAAGTTGCAATGGTAACTAAAGAAAGGTTTTTATTGCAAAACTGTACTTTCATTTGATCACCATCTGCAATGGTTAAAAAAAAAAGGTCGGTAATAATATAATTGGTCTAGTCTAACAAATTTTGTATCTACCAGTTTCCTTTTTCTTATTCTTGTTCTTTTTGGGTTGAGCAGGAGAGGGGTGGAATTTGTATTGCAGAGTGTGAAGATTTGACATCAGCTCAGACTGGATAGAAACAATTAATCAGGTATTAAAATGTATGGAAATAGTCATCATGAATTTTATATGTTAGAAATCAGTTAAAGCAGTTAAAACTATTTCTTAATCACTCTTGGGAACAAATCCTATGGCTCTATAATTATGTTTTTTTAAGTATCTTGTGATTAAGAGTGATGGATTATTTCTTTTGGCTGTGGAAGAAGTAAACTGTCTAGTAACTTATAAAACAGCATTAAGAATTGATCTATTGTTGATCTACCATGTAGCTCTTCTGATGTAGATTTTATTTGTAGGGTTTTGATACTGCATGCACTAGTTTGCAATGGCGACATGTGTTGCAAAGAGAATGACCGTAGCAGGTTTTCGGGTGCTGTTAAGAAGAAGAAGTCTTCTTGCTCATGTTTTTGTCCTATGGTGGGGATTTCAATAATGCTTTCTGGTTAGTAATATCCCACATTCAGCTTAAGTTTAGTTCAGAAGGTATTATATTACCAAACTGTTGTCACATGCATGGAGTTAAGTTTCCATTGAATTTGTGCTAGTTTAAAACTCAATTTAGCACATCTGATAGACGATTTAAAAAAAATGAAAAACATATCGAAATGAATCCAGAATGCTCCCACTTCTAAATATGAATGTCTAGATTCAACACAACTAGGTATAGCCCTTACCTTTTTTTTTTTTGATTAACCCATTGTGCAATCTTATTGAGGATGAGAGATATAGTAAGAGGCTAAAATCAAGTTGATTCAATTTCACAGGGAACGTGATTTGAATTTAGGTTATTAATATTTAATCTCTTTCTTTCATGATTGGGATATAGTACGTATTGGGTAAAAGCTATACGGTTCCCTGTTTTGATTCAACGTCTATTGATTGCTATCTTACCATCCTCAGATGGACGAGTTTAAACCGCAAAAATTACTTCAAATCATGTCGTACATAACATCAGTTTAAGTAGGGTTCTGAGAATTTTAAGTGCAGGTCTTAATTTGTTCTATTTTTATTTTTTGGTAACAAACATTTAAGGACAAGTCTTGCATTGAAATCTTATGAATGTGTAACTGAACATGCAATAGAACAATCTAAAAACTTCCTTCTGTGCTTTGTCTTTTTCTAAATCTCTTCTGTTTTATATGCTTTGAAATCATGTTGATTGGAAAAGATACTATCCTACAGACAACTTAATCATTGGGAAACAATAAAAGTTTTTTTCTAATAGCTTATGCAGGAGCGTTTCAAATTTTGTGCAACAATATCCAAATTGTAAGATGAAAAAACTAATATTTCTGAATTCAGAGAAAAAAGTTTGTGATAAAAATTTTCTGTAAACGGGATTTTTCTAGTAGCGTCTATTCTCTGTAGCTAGTTTAGTTTGCTGAAAAATTACATCACAATATTCGTTCCTACTGTATGCAGTACATTAATTTACTGGAAAAAGATATTCAGCGTAGAATGGAAATACTGAATGCATATCATGAATACTAGTAACCATTATTTATTATTGTTTGATAAGGTACTATTGGTCGCTGGGGTGGAAATGAGAGATATTTGTTGCTTGTGCCTGTTTTTATTGGGCTTGATTTGCAATGATAACAATGACCTTTCAGTGATTGTAAATATTTATTTGTGCCTACGGCACATGTCCTGGAGTACCTGCTTGAGCATTGCAATCTGAAAATCGTTCACTGAGATTTGAAGGCTGGAAACATCCATCTGGATGATGACATTGCAGCTTTCTTAGTGGTTACAAAACTACCACATCACAACTCAAATCCGGGGAACCATGGGACACATTGCCCCTGAATAACTGTAAAGCCTTTGGAGATGACAGATGTATTTGGTGTGACTCTTGCACAACTTGTAACCTGTCAGTCTGCAATAAATTTCTGCTTGAAGAGGACGAGGACGTACTATTGCTAGATAAGGCGAGTAATCCCATTCTTTCTTGAAATCCAGACAGACTCGTTCTGCAATATGGCTATAACTCAGGGTTTTGTATTCCTGTTATAGTCTTCTGCACATTATGAAACAGGTAAGTGCCTTGATTCAGTGGTGTTGGAATATTTAAACTTGCTTAATTGATCTATTTATTTAGCTTTGTGTCGAAGTTTTACACTATTTTTCTTGTGTCAAAGTGTTGTCGGTACACTTGTGCAATTGCAAACTAATCTGTCTTAGGCAGACTTCGTTTCCTCCTTAATTTGTTAATAGGTCCATTTCTTGAGTTGGTTGTCTCTAGCTTCAATTCTAATTAGAAGTTTCTTGTGGTGTCTGTGTCAGTTATCTTGCATCCAAACTCTTTCAGACTTACTGCTTTTATCTGCTACTATGGCTGCTACGATTTTGTTCAAGAAGAGAGTATACAAGAGAGAACCTCCATGTGCAAGCACTGAATTGCATTTCAAGGAAACACCGATCTAGATGAACTTTCGTTTAACATCCAATCCAATGCCAACTTTAATTTAAAAGAGCTTTACCCTGCCATCAATTCAATTGTGATGCTAGACCAAACCATTTGGAAATTAAATTCAAGTTTAGTTGGATGTTGAACCAAGTTCATCTGAATCGGAGCAAGAATGGATATGCAATGCCTTTTTGGAGAACTTGAGCTGTCCTATGATTTATCTTCAATAGTGCCACCAACACCACCACCACCTCCTCCACAATAATGTTCTGCTTGATTGGATTTTCTCAAAAGTGCAACTTGATTTTTTATTTTTGCTGTATGCTGCCTTATGTATATTTCATGCAGTAGCCTGAACTTAGTATTTTTTTCTCTTGTTATATGCTGTTTCTTCCTTTCAGCATTTAGTTCTCCAAAAGGATCACCTTTCACAACCTTTTGGATTCTCGTCATTTGTGGCTGTAGCTCTAGAGTGTATCAAGTACTCCACCATTTAGTAGTTTGTTTCTTTGGCAATTATGAGTTCTGGAATTTTTTTGGTATATATCTTCTACTTCGAGGAATAAACATCTTCTGCAAATAAATTGGCACTCCTTGCCACCAAACCAAAAAAACTTGTTGGTCTGCCTGTTGGTCAGTACATCCTGGATGTGTTCTGGTTTTGCCTCCTACATATAACAGAAGAATCATTGAATGTTTAGCATTGCACAATCTTATGAATTGCTTTTTGCACTGCAGTACTACTTTCTGAGTTCTTGTGAAATTGACAAAAGCTAAGTTATTGGTATATGATTTGTGTCCTTTACAAATATTATGCCAGCTTAGCTCCAAAAAAGTCCATAGAAGAATTCTTTTCCACAGAACTCGTTAAACTTCACACTAGCATAAAGCAAACTCTCATGATTATGTCTTTAGCTTTAAGGTCATTTTATCCCTCGTTCGAATTGATGGGAAGCTTTGTCAGGCATTTTCATCAATTTGTCATCTATTGGATAGACAACTAGCTAAGACTTATTGTGAATTACAAGATGTGGTAGAAAGAGATCAGAATCATAGCATTAGAAAAATTGATGAAAGTATTCAGGGCAAAAAAGTTTGTTGAGGGACTTTCCTTGTCTCTATTCCTGATATAGATGGTCTCAGTTGATGCTAAGTAAACTCCTTGCTGTGTCGGACAAATAGATGTGTTTAAATTGGTCAATAAGTTACTCTTATGGTTGGATTCTGTCCTTGCATACTATTTGTTTCTATGTAAATTTGCGTATTTGCGGAGTGTGTGAAATTGGCCAGGGATGATGTTAAGTATCCATGGACTTGTGATCAATCTCCAGAGCAAGAAGTTGCTGAAAGAGAAAAGGCTCGAGGACACCGTGGACAAAATCTTGCATGCTTTTGATGCCAAAGATATTGAGACAATCTTTTAGGTTGTCTTGCTTTGCACCCAAAGCTATCCAGAACGCAGTCAAAAAAGGCAGAATTTATAAGGACGCACCAAGGAGTGGGATTATCTGTGGCATCGGTAGGGTTGGAGCAGCTTGAAGAAGAAAGATATCGGGAAGTCTCCCTCGTGTCCTAGCAGTTTTGTTTGGGCTGATGAATCTGCACAAGATCAAAAAACTATTCAATTTTCGCAGGCAAGATAGGTCCTTTGGAGCGCAATTTGCATGCGAGATCATCAGTGGCCTGTATACCAAGTTAATGAAAAACCTCTGTAATTCTCACCCATTCAACTACTATTTCATAAGTAAACTACCCAGGGCTTGGAGCTGGAATTTTGTATGACTCTGTCTAATTCAACAAGGCTGTATTGTGCATAAGATATAGGTATTTTTTTAAAGCAGGAGTTCAGGACTTCGGTCCTATAGCTCAAGACTAATATATGTATTATGTGAAATTTTGGTGGAATTTTCCCCTATACGTTAACAAGTTTGGACATTAATTATCTACCTTGGATTTGTAAATTATTTTACTAAAAAACAATGAAAATATTTCAAATGTAATCTTTTGTGAAAATATTTTACTAAAACGGACGGATTCCGTCCGTTTGGATTCTTGTTTTTGGGTTTGTTTTTGAAAAACTGTTTTTCACAATCCAAATGCTACAGTAAATGTGTATTTCAAAAACAACTCCAAAAACACCATATCCAAACAATATATCAAAAACAACTCCAAATACATATTTAATATGTTTATTTCAATTTATATATTTCAATTATGTATAGGATATATATATATTATATTAATTTAAATATATTTATTTATACATATTATAAATATTTTATTTTATATAAAATATATTTTTATATATTTATATAAATATTATATATTATATATATTATAAATGTGTTATTATACATTTATATAAATGTTATATATTATATATATTTAATATATACATAATATATATTATATATATTGAACATTTATAAAAATGTACATTTAAACATTTATATATAAATATATGAATATATTTATTTATAAAAGTATAAATATATTTATTTATAAATATTTAAATATATTTATTTATAAATATTTAAATATATTTATTTATAAATATTTATAAATGTATTATAAATGCATAAATGTATATAAATATAAAATATAAAAATTATAAATTATAATTTATACATTTATATAATATTCATTTATAATTTATACATTTATATATTTATAAATATATTTATATTATGTATTATATATAATATAATGCATTTATATATTTTTATATAAATATATTTATTTATAAATATTTATAAATGTATAATTGTATATTGTTATAAAAATTTAAAAATTATACATTATAAAAATACTCGAAAATATGTTTTAAAAATACATCTAAAAATAATCCATAAAACATCTACAGTAAAAAGTTTTTTATATAATTTTTGAAAAACAACCCCAAAAATAGCTAATCCAAACGGATGAAAACAAAAAAAATGGGATGATGCCTTGTGCGGGGAAAAACCATGTACTAATGAGGTCACAACATTCACACCTCAGTATCTGGCGGTACGAGTCTGAGATGAAAAATAGTTGGACATCATAAGTTTTTTACCAATGCAAAAGGAGGAGTATTAGTTCCTTGCACTCGTTAACTTTAAAAACCTAATGAACAAAGGATGCATGTGTTTTACCAATGTTTGTTGCATATCTGACTCTGTTTCAGTCATGGACCGTATTTTTGTCAGGCATTCTTTCACATTAACTCTTCCAAACATCCAAAAACTACTTAAAATCACCCCCATAAAAGCACAGCAAAAATGTTCCAAAATATCCTCCCACCCACATATCAATATCTTTTTCCTTATCAACGACTAGACCTGGCAATTATACCCATAACCCAATAACCCACTCAACTCACCCACTAATTTGAGAGGTTGGGTTAGGTAAGTTGGGTATTTGGTCAATTTTGGATTGGGTAATGAAAATCCATACATATTTTGGGCGGTTTGGGTATTTGTGTTGGGTACCCATTACCCAACTTAAATTAAAAAACAAATTAAACGCAAAATGCATCAATTTTGTGGCATCAAACGCACTTGCTTTATAGAAAATAAGGGAATCATCAGCAAATAAATGTGAAAAATGTCAGGACTACCTCAAAAATTCTCAATGAAGATAACCTATTTTTCTTAAGTGCTTTTTGATTAAGTTGGAATGACATTTAACTTTCATATTTGTATCTATCAAATAGACACGTCATAATTGTTAATCTTTTTTTGTAATTAAAATCTAATCTAATTAACCGACGGAATAGGCCCTCCGGCATTCACGGACGAAATAGGTTATCTAGCATTCATGGACAAAAGGTACAAATGTTTCTACTTAAATGTGATAATAGAAAGTGATTAGAATTGATGAAGGTACAACCAAACTTGATCAGAATGCATGGCTTATACTAAGCAGATGTCTAGTTGCATAGAAAGTAGGAAATAGAAGTTGACTAGAGGCGATGAGAATGCAATACGAACACGCATGTGGACGCAGATGAAATTTCGACCTGGACGTCCACATCTACAGATGTTAGTAATATCTAGATTTTCAATAGCTTTAGCTCCGTTTGGATTAGCTGTTTTTTAGGGCGTTTTTAAAAAACTTTGCTGTAATAGAGTTTTAGATTATATTTTGGGATATTTAAGAGTAGAAGAGTTTTTAAAATATATTTTGAGATATTTTTTAAAATTTTAAAAAAATTTAAACTAATTTTTAGATTACCGTTTAGAATACTTTTTAAAAATTTTTATTGTATTTGAAAAATTAATTTTTTAAAAACACTCGCATCCAACAAATTTTTATTTTTGACTATTGAAAATTTACATGTTAGGTGGGATCCACTTGACACATTAAATGAGATCGAGTGAGATATTTGTATATTTATGTCAAACTCTTTCATTGGTTCAGGAGCAACATGTCAAATAATTACTCTGAAAGGTTAATAAAATCAAGTATTTCAAAAGAACTTAAAAAGTGAGTGTGTGTTTGTATCTGTGAGTGTTTTAGTGTGTGAAATTATATCTATCTATGTAAAAATATATTTATGTGTGTGAATTTTTTTTTGTATGTGAAAATATATTTGAGAGAGTTAATATATCAAAATCTATTATTTAATATATTGGGTCATATTTGGGTCATGGATTTAAGATAACCCAATATGACCCAACCCAAAATTAACCCAATCTAAAGTTGGACGGATTGGGTGTAACTCATTTAAATAAAAATCCAACATCAACCCGCCCAAAACCCACCCAACCGCCCAATTGCCAGGTATATCAACGACCAATCCCACCTCCCTTCTATTCGGACACCTATCTCCTCCCTCCTCATCAGTTGTCATCCGCCCCCATTCTAGTCTCTCCAACCCATCTCCCACCTCTTACCCGTCATCTCCCCACCCTTAGCCCACGGCCCATTTCCCTCTCTTTTCATGTACTTGCAATCCCTCTTATTGTCTCCCTTTCCCAATTTCGTATGACTGTCAAGTATGTTTTGAGTGACATGCTTGATTGAACAGAATTTATTATCAATTTTTGAGTTTTATCAATTTTGTATTATAATGAGTCGATCAAAGGCTGAATTTCATTCTCTAATTTCCGTCAAATGTTGCAATTTTATTACTCTTCTAATAGCCTTTACATCCTTCAAACCAACATTTGTATTAGTTTCAATGTGATTTAGAGTCATATTTGTTGTTGATAGAAGTGCACAATTATAACTTCTCATATCTGATCTAAGCTATCGTACAAAGACTGTTAGCCTATTTTTATTGAATTGGAGCAAAAAATCAAGGGGCGGGCAAACAAAAAATTGAGTTATGGAGGTCGGTTGCAATTGATTCAAACAGTGTTGTCTAAAATATATCTGCACTGGTATAGTGTGTTTATTTTGCCTAAAACATTGGTTAAAAAAGTGAATAGTTTACTGGCTTCATTCCTTAGGCCAGGAGAGACTAAGCAGATGTATGGTGCTAAAGTTAGATGAAAGGAGGTGTGTGCACCAAAACAGGAAGGTGGCTTGGGATAATAGAGTACTGAGCCATGGAACAAATGTTTGATTATGAAGTTAATACGGAACACCGGTTCAGTAGCAAGAAGGAGAATCAGTCACGATGGGCTGTTAAGATACCAACAGATGCATCCACGGTTTGGAGGAAAATATTGCAGATTAGATAGTTGGTTCAACCCTTCATCCGACACATTGTGGGGAATGGAACCAAAGCCAATTTCTGGTTTGATACATGGCATCCCCTTGGGCCATTGTATAAAAACTTCACAGGCAACCTCCTTTACAACTTTGGATGCAAACCAGTCGCCTCTGTATCATAAATTATAGTGAATGGAAGGTGGGGATGGCCTATAGGAAGGAAAGAAACAACAAAGGTAAGTGAGACTAAAAGATGCCACACCTGATGATTTTGTTCCCTTGGTGGAGTCTGAAGGCCAGATTGTGTGGGAACGATCCTCTACTGGTATTTTCAATACTAAAGCTGCCATGAAGATATTACGTGGTTCAGGGGTAAAAGTGACTTGGGAAAATTTGGTTTGGGGTAAAGGACTTGTCCCGAGATATGCTTTCACTCTTTGGCTAATATGTAAGAAAAAACTGTCTACACTTGACAGGCTGCGAAAATGGGGAGTTTCCCTAACTTCTAGCCTATGTGCACTCTGCAAGGGGGAGGAGGAAGCCATATATCACTTATTTTTTAACTGTTGTATGCCAAGACCGGTATGGACTAAAGTGCAAAACATGTGCTTGGTATATCGTGGGTCATATACTTGGGATGTGGAACTTTCATGGCTTGCAGCTCATTGGAGATCAAATTCCTTTGCAGATCAGATGAGGAGACCGGCCTTGGCTACTGCTGTTTATCATGTTTGGAGACTCAGAAATGAAGTGATTTTTCAGTTGAAACCTGCTACATGCGATAAACTTCTAAAGCCTGTTATCGAAGCAACTTGTGTTTTGTAGTTAGTAATTAGCCAGGCTTTCCTAAAACATGTCAAAATTTGGGAGATTGTACTCGAGTGGGGAGTGGACTGGAAATGTTTGTCAGTATAGAAAGAGAATGATACAAGGGGCCTGAACGGGCCCTTGTACTCAAGTATAGGAAAACCGTACCGTTCGGGGTGATTTTGTGCAAAATGCACATGGTGTGACTCATTTGCACCCTATGTAAGTCACTCTCGCCGACGTGTAATTGTAGAATAAAATTTTATGGACCCCAAACATGGTGTTAAAAACAAGATATAAGATAAAATTTGGATTTTATATTTTTTGGATCAAATCTTGGCCATGAACCTTCCTACAACTATTCCTACTCCTGTTCCAAGAGAATGGTATACTGTAAATAGTTAGTTGGTGGATGAGAGGCGACTGCCATGTGTACAAACTTTCATTACATCAATAAAAGTTTTTATTATTCGCCAAAAGAAAAATATTCACATATC